GGAAATCACGCTCCATGTAAATACCTGATACTCACTGGACTGGCTTTTCCTGACTTCTATAAGCAATGTTGTCTAGAGAGCATCCTTCCTGACACATGAAGAATTGTACTACTGTACATACTTCGAAACCCAGTTCAGAGGTAAAGAACAACATGGGCTTCAGCCATCACCCTCAATACCCTCAGATCGTCCTCACACTCATCCTCCAACACAGACATGATGGCAAGGTTGTTAAGAATGGTGGATGGGCCTCTTTACACTAGATCAGAGCGCAAGCATTCACTGTCTTCGTTCACCCAAGTACATTCTGCACAAATTATCGGATGGCACACATGTCCCATCACTTTAATAGAAGTCTCCAGCACCTTCTACAACTCAACAGACTGTTGCTGTAAAATGCTGGAAAAATACTTTATTCCCACACAACAGCTGTTGGTTTTGGTTTATGAAAAGAACTCTGAGGAAGCAAACCTACAACACATACAGTACAGTATTTTAAAAAATCTGAATACAACTGGAAATGAGAAGACAATGAGGTACACATTAATCTTGGATTTGGCAAACCGGATTGTGAAAAGGATACTCATGCGTGGCGAAATACCGAGAGAGTTCAGAGTCCGTGTGGCAGCAGGGAAGCAGCCGAGGTGAAAGCGGGCGGTTCTTCAAAGGAACGATTTAAAGTGTTTTTCCGGAGGGTGGATCTGGAAAAGATTGTGAGCTAGATGAGAGGGGCCTAAAATAATCTTGTGAGCGTGATTGGGAGTGCGGCTTGAGCAAACGCATGGAATGGAAGGGGATTCTCAGCCTACTATATTTAAGGCTATTCTTCTGAGATAATATTGTACTGTTCACATGAACTGGAGGTCCAAACCAAAAGAGGCAGTGATCATCGATATTCCACAGCCCTGTAGATCTCGGAGGGCATTTGAAAAATGACCAAAGGCCGTCGACCCGAGAAACAGACAAATATCTGAAAACACTTGCAAAAGGACGCATGACAAAAACGTGTCACTGTAACCACAACTCAGCTTGGCCAAGGCCTGTAAGATCTCATTCATCATCAGCAGAGGGGAAAAACAGTAGAGTAAATTTGGGATGAATGTTACTAATGCCTTAGTCTTGCATAATCCATGCCAATGCTGTAATGAGAACAAGTGATTTCCCGAATGAGGTCAGGAAAAGACAGCTGAGATAATCAGCATCTTCTCACTGCTTCACTGCTAAGGAACAGACACGCCAGCTTATGTCAAGAAGCAGCTGGATGAGATCTTGAGCTTCTTGCACCAAAATGAGCTCAAATGGCTGAATGGCTTCTCTTGTGTCTAATCATTCTCATTTTCGCAAATTTTTATGACGCATCCAAATTTTGGCGACTGGGACCTTCAGAATACCAAAATAGTGGCTTCATGGTCTGGATCTATTCTGAAAGCACGATGCAGTCACATCAGAGCTAGTAACACAGTGGTGCTGGAGCGCTCCGTGTATGGATAAATTTACTCGGGCACAAACGGGAATGATGAAAATAACGGATGGTGTACAAGAATGGTAGCACGTTTCTAATTGTCTCCAAAAATGTGAAACAGCCAGAACCACCAGTGGGAAACTGTATTGGTCGTAATTCCAGCAGAGATTTACAGGAGCCCCGCTGCTGAGAGAAAGTTAAGACCAGATGTCTGCCTCCTGATAAAAGCATTTTAATCAAACAAGCTCTGTAGCTGTCCGTTCTGCTAACCCATCAAGACTAAGCAGATTGATCAGTATTACAGAACTGAGAAGGAGCTCAGTTAAATCCTCTTACCTGTGGGGTAGAGTACCCTTTAAAATGCATAAGATTATCTACCGGCTTCCACCCAACCCATGTCTGTGATTCCACACCTTGACTTTCTAAAGCCCTCCAGACCTGAACTACTATCAAAGAAAATACACCGCGACTGAAAATACAGTCAGATGCAGTCACTTTGAAATTTAAAGCTGCATTTGACCAGGTTGACTGATACTGTAGTGTACATTACTGAAGGCAACAGCTGAATTGGCTAATGTATAGTAACAGACAGCCATAAGATATTACAGGAAAACATATCCTAAAGAAGTGCTGCCAGTTGCTACCTATTGTTCTTCTCATGCAGAGCTGCTGTCAAAGCGTCAAAGTTGCGATTTTCACAGGAGATGGACTCACCTACTATTGGGGATGTTTTATCCTTTAACAAAGCATCTATACTGTACATGACAGTGTTTTTTTAATACACCTGCAATTAAACATTTGCAGGGATTTTCAATGGCCGGTAGGTTATTAACACAAAAATGGAATTTGCCACTTCCAACTCAAATTGAAGTTTCTGTTACCGTGAAATTTAAGTTTGGGTTACCGTTATAAATCGGAATGTGACACAGTGAACAAACAGTCCTTTATTCACCATCATACAGTATATATTTCATCACCCTCCTGTTATTAACTCTTTAACTGTCACTCATCAGAAAACAATTTATTCAGAACAAAATAACTGACTTCTTTAGCTGACACTTCACTAAGCAGTTCATATTCATTTTCATATTGACTGAACCAAGATAATTGCACGCCATGAGGAACATGTCTTAACAGCCCAGTTGAACAGACAAAGGGCTGCATTATGAGGCTCCTCCATGAAATAGTTATTAGGAAACAGTGACTCTGTAACACTGAGAAGAGTGTCCCAATAAATGCTAAACTGGAATTATCCTGTAAAAACATTTCTTTGATAAAACTATACCATACATTTAAAAACGGATAGGAGATAGCAGCTCTGGTGGACGTTTCGGAAATTAAACCGTAAAAGAAAAGAAATAAGTGCTTCTGCCCAATCTGGACAAAGATGTAAAGCTCTCCAATTATCATATTTTGTGGAAGCATCCAATTGAGGCAGTGTGGCCTCAATAAAAGCCCTAATTATTGGCAGTGTTGTGGCAGACCTCTCTCTGATGTGGTTTGGAGTTACAATAAGAAAACATCTGCTGGCCACAGGTGGCTTTGCAAAAATGATTTGTCTTTTTGTGGGCTTCCTCTTGTCACACTGAGACAGGATGGCTGCTTGAGCACAGCCTGCTCTCCCTCTTCCAGCCCACTTCTCTCCTGCGTCTCTGGGCACTTCTGAGCCCTTGCTAATTTGCTGCTCAAGCTGTGGCGAACCAGAGGGCAGGTGTTTTCATTTCTGCTGAGGGATCCACCTGGGAAGAGGAGTTCAGACGAAGACAGGCAAAGGGATGTTTACTCAAGCAAACAAGTCTTCTGAAGCTATCTGTTTCCAATCTGTGCACGTGGGATATCATTTCCAAAACATTATCTCAATTTGCAATATTTAAATAAATAATCACAGGATGTGACACAACACTTCCTGCCCCTCCCTCTTCTTTCTTGAGGAAAAAAAATATGTATTTATGTATGTTCACAGAGGAGTTAAATTTAAGGCAGACTTAATAAATTCTAGCAACAGTTACTCTGTGACTTCTATACTAGAATAGAATACATGCTAGAGATAGCATGTCTCTTAGAAACAGCATCTTTGTTGAAGTGTATTTAATCTATGGTTTGATTCATGATAATTTCATGTTTAACCTGTGGTAACCCCTTATTGCTGGGGTACCCAAATTGTGACCCTTCCGATCCAATTCATTCTGGAATATTTCTATTCAGAAATCATTACTATTAACATCAGCACCTTAATAAGTTAGCTGTAAATCAGAAGGTTGCTTTGAGAAATTCAGTACTTTGGAAGAGCTATAATAATTGTCATGCAATGCACACCAAGGCATTATGGGTAGGTCGCACTAAATGTAAGCAGTGAGCTCTTACACCACTTTTTAAATCTTGGACTGGCAGTGAACCAGGCTGTAAATTTACACACCACATTTCCACTTGCTGAAATGAACAAGCACCACCAAGACAAAAACAAGACAATCATTCACAGAGAAGCAGAAATGACATACAGGGCAAATTTCTTGAAATGTGGAGCTATCACTTCGGATCAAGTTAGTGGGTCAGATTACCTGAAGTAGAGATTTCAAAAAAAGATGAGGGTGAGCAATGATGCTGAGGTGTTTCATAGAGGCAAGATTGTCAGAAATTATGCGTGAAACCCCTGGAGACCTGCATGAGTCTGTGCAGACTCATCTGAGAGCCGTGCTCAGCAGCTCTCACACAGGTGACAGAGCTAAACCTTTGAGGTCTCTGTTGCTCTTTCCCTTTGCTTTAATTTCCGTAGACCGTTTGCCTCTCGAGAACCTGCATGCTGTTATGTTTTGTCTAACTGGCAGCCCAAACAGAGGTCCCGTGTGCTTCCTGGTTGTCCCCTGTAGTTAAAGAACAGAGGAGGCTGGGATTGAACTGGACAGCTCCTTACAGCTGTACCATGCCTGGAAGGTGACCCTTGACCCGGAAAGACCTTGTCCTTTAAAGTCCTAGATGTTGCATTTACTCAGAAATTCTAAAGGAGCAATTCAGAAAACGCACATTGGCAACAACAAATCACCACATTTAGGAGTGCATGTATTTGAAATGCCCATTTCATCACATCCTGTGAGGTATTTTTAATGCTGTTACTTGTAATGTATATAAAAACAAAGGTATTCAGAGTAGAGTGAGCTGCAGTGTACGGACAAATAAGTGAAAAGGAGTTTTCAATCATTTCAACCCTAGATACATCATACAAACTACCCTTTTACTTAATAACTTTTACATACCTCATATCAAATCCATCCAGGGTTTAGTTTGGATTCATTAATCTGGTAAAGTAAATTCTAGAGCAATACTAGTGTTCTCAATATGAGTATTTCTTAAAATGAAGCAATTTTACTGCAGCATTAGAGAAGGAATTAGTTACACATGGATATCTTAAAAGGAAACAGAAATCAAATTCTAAGGGTATTAGAGGTGTAGTGTTAGCTGGGGCATAAAAAGCCTATTTTTAATCCTGGTGTATTAGAGACTGTAATATACTAAAAGACAAAATGCAGCAACACAGTTGGTCCATGATGCAGATCTTACGTTTATTGTGGATGTGGAATTATTCTATTAAAGGTTTGTACAGTGTTTTAACAAAGCTGTGATGGTCTTGAGCGTTTAAAAATAACAGTCATTGGATTAGACAGATTTTTTTCCCCTTAAACCTGAGACAGGTTCTGAAGCATAATACGCTTTTTCGGATTACCTTGGAAAAAGGCTGGCACATCTTCTCCTCTTTGTGTGAAATGCCGTCTCCCCAGAAACACTGCAGGAAAGCTCATTAAACGGACAAAATGTTTAAGAAAAACCAACCTCTTAAAAAAAAAACTTCAGGTTGAATAATACCACAGTCAACTGTCATCTGACATAACATGGTTTCATTATGGAATGAAGCCCTCAGGTTGGAAGGGATGTCTTAGCTTGAATACACACAATTACAAAACGTAACATTTTGCAGGACTGTAATTTGTTTTTCACCCGCAGGATTGCTGTTGACTTCAGTTTTGGCAAGTGCGATTCAAACCGGACATGAAGCCATCGCCCTTACGCAGCCAAAGCCTTTCCGTCAAGTGTTCAAAATGGCAACATGTACAAAATGTTGTAGACGCTGCCAAGAACTGTAGTATGTTCCTCTCTTTCGTTGTCTCACTCACGTTAACAAGATGACACAGCCGTAACCAAACATTGTTGTATACCTGTACTGTAACCCGCCTCAAGGCATTACAGAACTAGAACAGTCAATATCGATCTTTGACAAAACTGTTGGTACTGCAGCTTGTTCTATTTTTTTTTATAACAATGAACAGCATACAAAGTCAGCAAATCATTTTTAACTTGAGACTGTATACTAAAACCCAAAACATTTTGAAAAAGCGTCAACACGCTTTGTACTGCACTTCTGTAGATATGCAGTTAGCGATTGTTTAAAGTTTAAAGTTCTCAGGGGTGCCCTCTATCGATCGGCTATTACAGGTGTATTACATATCTAACAGGGGAAAAGTGTGAAACTGGTCCAGTTATGGTCAATAACTCGACCAATGAGGGAATTTAGAGTTTGGGTAGAATGATACAACCACCCACCACTGACTTGCATCATGATCCCTTGGATCAAAGTTTCCTGACTTAAATGGTGGGGTGTTCATTCTTCCCTGGCCTGTGTACTGTATGTTGAGGATCCAGTACTCTAATGAACCCCATTGGAGCCACTGAAGAACATAAGGTCACAGACAAGAGGAGGACATTTGGACCATGTAACCTGTTGTCAATGAGAAGCTCGTTGATCAAAGGATCTCATCCAGCTATTTCTCGAAAGCGGCCAGCGGTTCAACTTCACCATGATGGCTGGGTAACTTGTACAGATACCGCTCTTTATCCAAAGAAAGGCCTCCCTTCATGTTGTGATGTGCTTGGCAAGGAGGAAGCACAGGAGGTGGGAATTAACCCTTTAAGAGCACAGTGGTGGTGCCCCTACAGAAAGGCAGTTACAGGTATGCTGATTTTTTTTTGTTTGTGGTGCAGGGGCTCTAGGTCCAAGTCCAAGCACTGAACACAACCCAAACGTGCTGAGAGAGGAATCATTCCAGAGAAAAGTTGGCAGATACATTACTGGGTTTAACATCCTACACTGCCTTGCTGAAGAAAACAAGCCTTTTCAGTCTTTAACAGACAGGATTACAAGGGGACCTGAGCCAAGCATTTAAAACCCTCTAAGGCAATGACAAAGACAAAAGCAGTGCACTTCTTCAGAACAGAACAGCTGTAGAAACCCAAACTAGAGGACAGTATTAGCTATGAAAAATACTTGTTAATGCATGTAAACGGCGAATCCTATACACAAAGTGTTGTGGGAGTGTCGCATAAAGTCATGGTGCCAAAGCCAGGTCCCAAGTTCTTTCAAAAAATGGCTGGATGAGGTCCTTGGATCAATTAGCTACTGTGACCTAAGTGGGCTAAATGAGCCAAATGTCCTCATGTTGTTGGGAAACCTCCTCACTTTCTCAACAGGTCAGAGGTTTTAAAGTAGTTTTAAATAGTATAAAGGTTTACAGTACAGCTGTAGTTCTTACTGATAGGAAGAGGAGCACAAGTCCTGTTATCAGGGCCATACCGCCATCCAGTGGCAAAAATGTGCAGATGTAGTCACGACAGGCCTCTGGACCTGCAACTAGCAGGTTTTTTTATTTCAAATCCCAGGCAGGCCACTTGCTGTTGGGCAGCTGAAAACTATACACGCTGTATCTATGGGCACGCTCCAGGTGATTGACGTAAACTAGAATTTAAAAAAAACTGAATGGCCAGCAAAAACTGTGTTTTCAGCCATGAAACACTGCAGAGAAAGGAGCTGAGCACCAACACAGAAGAAACTTCCCGCTTAGGAAAAAGCAGTACATTCTACATTCTTTATAACAGTAAGAAGAGGATGCACACCTCGCTTACATGCTCGCCTACAAGACAGTGGTAACTGCCTAGATCGTCTAGGGTTTTTGAACATGGATCACATTGTAACAGACTGATCTTTTCTGACCCATATTGTGTAAATAGCAATACCTCATTCTCCGGCAACCTTAGGCTATAATACCCTAATTAAAAGAAAGACAGCAGGACACGTTCAGCTTTATTGAAAAATTACCCTCTTGCCACCAAACTAAGCAAGAAACCCTTCTGTGAGTAGTGTCATTAACGGATTAACGGACTAACCAGAAGCACTTTTGCAATTGGGTACACTGAGAGGTCATGCACACCTCATAAAGTGGGAAAAAAAGTGAAAAGTTATTACAACATTATCATCAGGCTTGGGATTTAAAGATCTGTTCGGCGCTCCAGAGGCTGACGAATACTGTATGTACTCACGACATTTCCAAAAACAAAACTGCTGTTTAGATGAGGCCTAGCTTGAACTCGTGCCTGCTGTTTCACGTTGTAAAAAAGTGATTTCCCAGTGCCGAAAGGAAATATCCATCCACACAGGAGGTAGTTTTATGTATGTCAGATCAGATGAAATTGTTACAAACATCATGAGATACACTGGATTTACCCCCCCCCAAAAAAAAGATGAGGCTTAAATCTTTAGCACAGGATTAAGTGCAATCATTGCATGGAAAAATTAGTTATTTAAAGGGGAACTGCAATGCTATTTTTCTATTTCAGGGTTGATGAGTGCATTTCAAACCACAATACAACTAAAATATAGACAGTAACTTGTAAAACCTCCAATTTACAGCACAAAATGGACTCAATTTCCTGGATTCAGAACAAGGCAACAAAACTCGTAGTGATGTGATGAGGCCTTATTACATTGTAAACAAGCAGACTTATGAACACATTACTTTTAAATGTAACAGAAATATTGCTTTCAATTTCAAGATGGTTTTGCCAAAAAATACTTCCTACTTATTCACTCTGCATGCAGATAAGGTTGGAACATACCTGTGGTGAAATGTCTGCTGCACAACGCTCGTAAATCACATTAGTCGTTAAGGTGACTAGTGAGCAGAAAGGGCCTCATCGCATCACTATCTGTAAGAACTTGAATAGAAGTTTGCGACAACATGGCGACCTACAGTACTTTCACCAAGTTCGGGCTTTTGTGCTTAATTCAAAATTTGTAAATTTGATATTCAATAACCGGTCTGAGAAATTGGTATTTTATTGTCTGGCATAAAGTCAATCACATTTTCATTTCCTATTTTATTTGCCATTAAATATATAATATACAATATGAGAAGGATACAGCATTTCAAGCCATAATTGATTGGCTAATATGAACAGTTTTAAACACCAAAAGGTGTAAGGTGAGGTGCACAGGGAGAACACACAAACGTCATCCCTTCCGAGAAGTAAACTCATGTAAACCAAAACTCATGAGGCAGCAGTGCTAACAGATTTTGCCATTCCCCCAAACCTGCTCGCATTACGGAGGACAATAAATCACACTAGTTGGCGTAGGTGCAGGTTTACAGAGTGTCTGTAAATAAGAGAGTAACTGGTTTGGGGACAGAACTGTTAATGTGACCCATAAACCCGAATTGAGTGCAGAACTGGGTACAGGATGAAAAATTTTGCCAACCAGGAAAGTGATATGTGAGAGGATGGAAACTGTAGAGACTATTGCAGACAACATCACTGGCTTGACCAGCATTAGGTGGACAGGCCGCCTGGGCCAGGACAATTCTCAGAACTCAAATCCTGTCAAAATTCAATGGGGAACATGGGATACACCATTCATTCATACACAGTAACCCACATCACAGCTGCGATGGAAGACAATCCTACAAGAAGCACAGAAGGGAATTGGGCTGTAAATGTTTCCGAACCTCGTGAAAGGAAAGGCAACACGTAGTTCAAGCTGTTCTCGCTGCGCCCAGAAGAAGGCTCCACGCCAGAAACGTTGCGTTCTCTTTCTTCTCTTTTCAGCATGGAATAAACCTTTACCTGTTCCTTTGCGGCCTACGCATCCTGACGCAGCTCCCCAACTGAACTACTTCATAATCAAGGTGCTGGCTCCCTCTGCTGGTGATCTGAGGATTACTACACACATTCATAAACTTGAACACAAAACCTTCACGCCCTATCGAATGCATGCTACATTAGACACCAAGAAACGGTTACAAAAAAACAGGTACTGCTTGTACAAAGCACTTTCTACTGCATGTTTACCTTATTTGCTCACTCAGAATACGGTCAATACCCATTGAAAGTACATCTGCCAATGTAGTGCCCATCCATAATAACAGAGACAAAACCAAACAATTATAGGTCATTACGTTTTATTTCTTATTAAATGGTTATTAAAAAGATCATGTGAAGTAGAAGATTATCTGCAAGGTAGCAGGATCCTTGAGAATGGTCAACATCGATTTATAAAAGGCTTGTTTTGCAAAACTGGCTAGAATTCTTCGAGCAAACAGCCGCAGTAAGGGACATACCCAGAACATACAGTATGATCTGACATTTTTAGACTTTCAGAAGGGTTTTGATTATTCAAAATACTCAAAGGAACGAATGGCGAAAGAGGGACCAAAGAAAACAGACAGAAACTACAGGGTAGTAAATTTAGAACTGAGATCAGGACAAGATGCCCAGCCATGCTGTTGGAGCCATTTGTAAGCATTCTTAGAACCAAACCTGTTAAACTCCCCTCATCCCTTCTGTAGAGAACAGTTTATTTCCCTAATAAAATCTGTCTTGTATGACACTATTTGAGCCAGCTCAAGTAACGTACTGAGGAATTTCACTCAGTACTGTACTGTATGTCACCATGAGAAAGTTCTACACTTCGTTTAGAATTAAAGAAAGAATACACAATTCTGATTTTTTTAAAATTTTTTGGTTAACTTTTATTTTTCTTGAGTTTGTGGAACATTCTCATACAGTCTTGCCACCCAGTTAAAACAATTCTTGAAAACTAAAACACTCAGCTACGAGCCTCAAATTGTTAAGATTCGTAAAAATATAGTTTTGTTGCAGCACTACAGACGGTACAGATAAGGGTTCTGTGGCCCCACTCACTGGAACTGCCTGGTGGGCTGGGTTTGACATTCTGGCTTGTGCACTCCACCAGGTTCATTCAAAACTAATAGCTACTCAAAAAGCATTGTGCTTTTTCACCCCTTTGGCCCAGCATTAACTGATGAAGAATAAAGGAATCGCAAAGCCTCAGGAACCTTCGATGTCCAGGACAGGGCCCGTTTAACAGCAGCACATCACTGTGCTCTGCCATTCAAGGCCCATTTAACTGGAAATAAATCTGAGTGCCCTTGCCACCCTTCCTCAGACACAAAGTAAATCTCAAGCTTGTGTTTGTATTAAACAGCACACCTCTGCGCCAGCTGATCAGCTGCAGCCCTTGAGAGCTGGTGTATTTACAGAGTGTGCTTCTGTACCTGTGGTGCACAAAGAGAGGGGGGGGGGGGAATTTTAAAACTGGAATTTTACCCAACTGGTCCTCTCTGCATCGACACTAAACAACGCTGGGGCAGCTGCACATCCAGAGATACTGAAACAACAATCGTTTTCATCTGGAAGCTCTACTGCACCTGTTTAATTTAATAGCTTCATTGTGCCAGCTCTTTGTCAGCTTTCTCTAGTGGTTTGTGTGACATACAATTCAATAGCTATCCCCTGCAGTCAATGATGACTGTCTTGCATGAACTGGTAGGACTGATACAGGATCCACACTCTGTGACAAGTTAAGCAGGTGTCGTTGCAGGAGGCACCTGGCTGTGAACCGCACAATCTAGACTATCTCTTCCTCTCGCTTTACTCCCTTGTTCTGATATCTTTAGGTCTCGAACTGCTGTCCTCTTTACCATATATTCATCCTCCATCTGGTTTGGGCAATACCTGGAGTCTCCCAGGACTTGATACTGAGTTTGGTTTTATAGGGGCGATGTAACACCCCTGTCTGACTCCTGTCCAGACTTTAAAGGGCTCTGCAATGAATTTATTAGCGAGAATTTCTGCATGCTTATTAATATGACGCGGACGTAAGATGCCGATTAATTTTGGAGAACGTGAGTACAGTATTTCAGCAGGATTTTCAAGAGTGCCTCGCAATTCACAGAATCAAAGGCCTTTGTCACGTCATTCACATGAGATCACTCCTAAACTGATCTGACTCGAAGCCTTCTGGTCTGGGATCAAGAGGCTGTGGAGTAAAGTACAGTACTTCCTGTTTTTAAAAGGTCACTCCCAGGGGGCAGGGAATGAAGAAATAACTCACTGGCGTTAGCTATACATGATCTTTTTACTCTTAGCCAGATTGCTTAGATTACATCAGAGTTTGACATTTTGGAAACAACATAGTAAAGAGATGCGCAGATAGAGACCTCCAATTACTGTAATCGTTATAGTCTCTAATAACTACAGTATGTATCTGTGGAAGGATACTGGTCTCTATTTGTACTGTCAATCAGTGCGCCTGGATCTTTACTGTTACGGTTTTGCACAGTATTGACCTCTAGCCATTGCATGTTCAAGTTTCTCTGAATAGAATACAATTCTCAGTTATAAAATACTCCAGTGATAAAGAAAAGATACAAATTTGTTCTGATACAACTTTATCAATCACATTGTTTACAAAATGTTTACAATAGGCAGGGGAAAAAAAGGTTCAAAATATGTTTTCTGATGTCTGCAGAATATTTTAAAAGAAGTGACGGGTTTCTGTTCAGAGACCCAAAGACAGTAGTGGATCTAGAAGTTACCACTTGCCCTAAAAAACAGCATCTAGAACACAGTTTATTTGAGCTGCAACGTGTAAACGTGCAAACGTGTAACTAAAATGTCCTGAAACTTTCAGTTCCTGTTCTTCCTGCTGAACCTGAAATAAAAGAGAATATGAGCTTTGCAAACCCTTTGAGACAAACTTCCCAAAGTTCTGCTAGCCCCACATGATATATCAAAAAGCACAGGACCTAAAGAAAGTCAAGAGATGTCTTTTTATCATTATGTTCAGGTGGGTAGCTGCGTCAGCATGCATAGGCTGCAAAGGATCAAGTAATAGGTTTATTCCATGCTGAAAAGAGAAGAAAGAAAACGTTTCGGCCATAGAGCCTTCCTCAGGTGTGAACAATAATTATAATTATATATTATTATTATTATAATATTATAATTATATAATACACTAGTAAGGAGTGTATAGTTTTTTACAAATTTAGTCATAACATTACATTAAAGATATTGCTGTTCCGGAATTAGTCTAGAGAACAGCAACGGGATTTTTTCCAGGGCAGAAGGGAATTATCTTCTAGTATTCAAAACCTCAAAGACAATCCTTCAAGAAATGTCTGGGTGAGATCCTTGGATCAATTAGCTATTAATTACCAAACGGGCTAGCCTCTCGTTTTAATCATGTTTATATTCCTATGAAATATCTGCCTGTGCAAGGGGAGGGTAGTGCGGATGAAGTTAAAAATCCATCTGCAAGAAGAAGCAGTACGGTAGTCGAATCACCATTTCCCCACTCAACAGGGCAAACTGTAATGTTCCACCTCCGCCACTAGATGTCAGAGTTGCTTTGCAGATGTCAATTTTATTACACGCCGAGCCGCACGGTACATCCGTTTTATTTTGTATATTGCAGACGCAAGATGATTTTAATTTTATTTGAGAAGATAAACGACGGGAAAGCTAAAAACCGTCACATGTTAAAAAGTACTCCAAATTCAAAATTACAAGCATGTCCATCCATCCATTTTCTACACTCTTTATTCAATTCCGGGGTCACGGTGGAGCCCTCACCCAGCAAGCAACGGGCGCAAGGCAGGACACACCCTGGACAGAACGCCAGTCGGCTGCAGGATTATAAGCATGTGTTTATAGTGACTATTTTTACATTTGGGGGTAGAAGGCTACTCCATTGCTTTACTGGAATTCTCAACAGGGTAGTTTTAAATTCAATCGGTCATAAATCCTTGCAGCAGTGGTCACCGAAGTGAAACGCCAGTTGAATAGGGTCACCTTTTCTCCCAAAACCCATCTGCGAATCTGCACCCAGCACCCCGCTTTTCTTTTACAGAAAAACTCCTACTGGAGCCCTGCTGTAGCTGACATTCACATCTCAGTTAATTGCGCAGATCTGTCCTTTTACAGTATTCTCCCATATGTGCCAGAACAGGACAGGAAAACCCAAAAGGCAGAAACAGGCGATGCCCAAGCCAATCGTCTTGCAGGGAGTAGCCCGGTCCCCCTGCTGGGCCTTGGGGTCCCATTGATAACCCACACACCTTTGTCTTCTGCCTGCTGCGTCCCAGGAAAATGACAGCATTCTCAGAAGTCATTTTGCTTTGATCACACTTTTTATGCGTTCATTCAGGAACAGGGGTCTCTTTCCGCGCTGCTGGGGAGCCCCAAGTCGGCAGGTCTTCACAGACCACTCGTTTCTACAGGCTTGGAACAAATCGATCACCGTTCACATGAAGTTAATTGACCATTAAAATAAGTAATGCAGGGATCATGTGGGACTAAACCGAGTGTCCTTCATCCCTTGAAGACCAGAGAGCTCTTAATTGATCAGTATTTTACAGGGGTTCAGCCATCTGCACTGGGGCTCTCCAGGCGATTAGAGCACAGAATACCACAGAAACAGACATTGAACACACAGCTTCCAACTGTCTGACTTTAATCATTCTTCTCGTAGTAGTATTATTCTCCTATAAAAAAAAAAGTGGAATGGAACAGGCACATCTGAGAGCCGATTACCTACAGGAGGACTAATTACGTCGCAAGCCTGGGGGGTCCTTGTCCAGAAGGAAGACGGCTCAAGATGAACAGCAAGGCTCAACTTGCGTCACAAGAGTCGAGGCTGGAGAGGCTCTTCCCGAGCCGTGTTTTTCTCCTCCGGCACTAGGGGGAGACACGCCCTCGTGTGTGAGCTTGGCACCCACACTCCCCCGATCTGTTCAGTCACGTCCGCCACAACGGTGCTGTGATCTCCTCTGATTTCACTTCCAGATGTAGGCAATCAGAAGAGCTCGCCCCTTCTCGCCACTGAGGGTTGCTGTGTGGCACGGGAGCATTCCGCTTCCCAGGCCGCTGTCAGCTGATGGATGAGAGAAGGAATTTTTACGAATGGCTAGGCACCGACACCAGGGCCCCCATCCTCCACGGGAGGGGACGAGCTCAGAAACGGGCCGGGACTTTCTTTGAGTCTTCTGTTAGAGCACCGAACGGTCCGCGTTTCTCTTCACTTCGGCTCAGACCCCACGCAGTTGGTTGCCTTCCAGCACAGACCGCCGGCTTCACCTCCTCTACGGCCACCTAACAACTCGAGTCGCACCACTACGTCAACGATGGCAGGGGTGTGAAAAAAAAAAATGAAACGTTATGTATACTGTGCCACCCTAATAACTGCAGCTATTAAGAGGTCCCAGGGGGATAAGGCCAGGAACTGGCAGAGCAGACCAGTGGCTCCTCTGGCTGCTACAAAGACAGCAGTGTTGCCTTGGGTCCGGTTAGGACAGCATTCCTCAGAAACAGACCTGGTGGTAGAGATGCCTGTGGGTCTTGGGGAAAGACTAAAGAGGAGACTGTACTTCCCTTATTATAAAGAGGTTGCAAGGTTGGCAGCAGGAGGCCAGGAGCGTTATAACCGTGCACGCCTTAGGCGAAGATTCGTTTCTTCCACCTCCGGGACGCACGAGCCCGCGCCAGTCTCTGAGAAGTTGCACGCCTGCTGGAAAGTTACCGGGCTGTAAAGAGCTCTCTGGAGGAGCCCCGGCTCACCGCAGGGCCAGGGGCAGGGCGCGGGCGCATCAGTCTGGGGCAGCAGGGCTCGGCCACGCCGCGGTGGCGTAGCTCAGCGGCAGGGAAAGACCCACCACAGGCCCCACCACGCTCAGCCAGGCTGCGATGTAATTCAGGCTCCTGCAGGGAGGAAGAAGCACATAAACAGAGTTGCGTTTTAACTGCTGTTTATATACAGTATATAAGTGCTGCTCACCAGCATTTGATCCGAGAAGCTTGTCTTATCAATATAAGATCTAATATAAAACCCAGGGTCGGAGAGACTAGGATAGGCTCCCTTATGATGCTGTTTGCAGGTCGGTTCAACAGCTACAGTAGCTCCTTGTTCATCAAGCTTTCTCTTAAGTAGAGAACGTTTAATACCTTACATGGTTACATCTCCAGAGTCTTAGAAATGAATTAGGGCAATTCAAGAAAATGGAGAAACGCTGAGATGACAATTTTGAAAACCAAAAGAGGATCTCGTGCATAAGACTCAAGAAGCTGCTTGTTCAGGTAAGGGAACAGCACAAAGACACAAACCAACCTGTTTTCTCCTTTAGCTGCAGTTACTATAGGACTCATAAACTCCTGCGTCCTACAGGGATGGAGAGCAAAGAAAGCCTGCCCAAGGAGAGGATGCTCCTACAAACAGACAAGACAACAGTTTGTAACGACAAATCGGTACATTTTCTGTAAAACAACTTGCATACAATGAAGCAAACAAGCACTGTAGGCCTTTCATTTTACACACAGAAAAGCTGCAATCCTTTTTATTCCCAAGACAAAAACTCAGAATCACCCTAGAAACAAGTTTAAAAAAAGCTACCCTCTTGAATGGTCCTCTGCACATGTACTGTAGTTTTCCCTCTTTATATCACCCTTTCAATAAAGCCAACCTTTCTCACTGCCAATTTCAATGCCCATCCAAGACGTGGTGTTTATATACTTATGTATTATACTATTCACATCTGTAAGGTAGAGATCATTTGTGCGCTCAGTTCTCGTGAATCAAAACAATTTAAGGAAACTATATTCTAGGAGGAAAAAGAACAATTACACCATTATCATCAACACGCTCCTTTCTTCCCCGAAAAATAATTTAACAGGTACATGGGGGGAATCGGGACACTTCAGCATATTAAAGGACACTGCCCAATAATGTCAGAACATTATTTACAACATGCCAACGCCCTCAGCATGCAACCAAAGCTAAGCCGAACTTTCAAACACAGACTGGCCAGCTCAACCCCACTGGACCTGAGTCTTCCCTGAGCATGAAACATCAAGCTGGAGGAAGTAGGCAAACAAACTATCAAGCAGAGGAGCCCAGGGATGATGAAACGGTACTATAGCTTGCAGCGACTGCAAGCAAGGCACCCAAGACAACCACACGAATGGCTCTGTTCCTTACCAGAGAGGAGTCTGGGTAATACAGTTCTTGAACTAAAAAACAAGATGTGCCTTTGTAATAGAATTCGATGAAATGACTGAAAAGATCAGATCATTTACTTGGCTGATATTTTAGACCTAGACCCAATGTGGAGGGTGGCACAAAGTAATCATCCAAAGGAACGGCCAATGCCAGGCGCTAGCTGTTGCGATTGTCTCAGCTGGGGCCTGGTTCTGCAAGTGTGCACTGTCACCTTCAGAGAAAGAAGGACATGATCTTGGGTAGGTGGCTCCAGTGAAATGTAATTAACACCTGATACATTCAATCACTCTTCGGCATTTAGGGGCTTATTTCGCTTGTTTAGCCAATACTAAACTTTGTACTAGAAAATAATCATCATCAAGAATGACAACGGCTTTTCATAAACTCAGAGAGAATGCCACCTGAGCAGGACTTCTCTTATACTTACATTGCAAACATCAGTACAGCCCCACATATATTGCTGGGTCAGCAACACATCCATTTACATTCACACATTTCAACCTACCATACAGTACATGTATTGGATTTCTTCAATGAATTAATAAAACAATTGTTAAAATAAGCAGCCAATAAGCCTCTTGCACGTACTCCACCCTATCCATGTCTAGGTCACATATGCCAGACAGTTGGTTGCTGTTTTCCCAAATTTTCCAGAATGAACATCGAAACACAAACCAGAGGGCACAAGTGAAAATGACTATACGGGGAAGTGCAGCTAAAACTGAGAACAGGAGACACTGAACGCAAAAGATTATGGGAATCTAGAATGCATTGCCCGGCTGTGTTGCCAAAGCTGATCCCATGGCACCTCTCAAGAAAGTGCTGGATGAGATCTTCAGATCAATCAACTACTGTCAGATGGGCTAGATGAAGCGATGGCCTCTCGTACTTCAAATCCTGGTCAGGATTGCAGCATCTCCAAACCCCACACTGCCTGCGGACACTGGACACCACGTCATAACGGCTGACAGCAGTCACAGACCTTATATCGACCCTGCCCATCTTCTCTAAACATCTCTCTTTGCACCATTCAGAAGCCAGTCTCAAATAAACGCCACCATCTGCTGCTCGAACGCAGATGCGAATTCTAGTTCACGAAAATCTCTTCAATTAACACGGAGCCAAAACAAAACTGTCAGCACCAATATGGGATTTTCATCATAAACAACAGTCCAACGGTTGTTCTGTGCTTTAGCGCTGTAGCAAAGTACTGTGCCCAGCTTTAAAGACGTTCAGCAGGACATTAGTGTGTAACAGCATTCATTCCACACCGAAATTCCAAGTGTTGTTTTCAACAGCATGCAATTCACAAGTGTTTACCCCAAACCATTTTTTAATGATATGCCACTGTAACAGTACACAGAAAGACAAATTGACGCATTCTTGATTTTAGAACAAGCTGGAAGGCTCAATGTACTTATTTTATTTTGATTTTACAACAGGTATTTATTTTTTACAGAACAGACTTATTCAGTGCCATCAATAAGTATACTGAGCCTTCCCAGCTTGTTTACAGGCACAGTATTTAAACACTGACGTGACTTTTCCCCACAGGTGTGTCTTTACGAGCTTTATAAAGGACTGGTATGTAAACAGCAACCAGATCTCTTTGCATTTTTGACCAGTCTTTGGCACGTACAGATATAAAAGTTGAATACAGAATTACATAAAAGGGGTTTGCAAATACTATGAAAATAATTCACTCCCTTTTGTCCCTCTTTTTAAGCTGAAATTGCCAATAGGTTTATTTTTATTTTCTACCTCGGGTCTGGAAACCGCTGTTAATTAACCGCTTGATGTTTTAACCTTTCGGACCAGTGCGAGAGAAATGACCAGCAAGAATCGCGCACAAATAGGGCTCTGAGGGATCCGTCTGTTAATCTGTTAATTGTTCTGCGAGTCTCAACTGCAGGAGTGGAGTGATTCGTTATCGATAAAACGCCCAGCTCACAAACTGTTCAAGAAGTCATAAATTAGGTTCTTTCTTTTGCGGAAAGCTAGCGATAAACTGGGTCAGCGTTTCACGACCGGTGTGCCTTCAGACATGAAAGAGTCTGCCACGGAGTCGCACATGAGACAAATAAAAAATGAGTAACAAATTAAAACGTTTACGTGTCCGTTGTGTGCTGCAGAAACGGCGTTCGGTGTGTAGACAGACAGAGGTCACGCTCTGAGTCCGTGGGGGAGCGGTGTGTGGTTTCCAAGTCAGACGGACACAAAGAACAAGAAGAGAGAAGGCCCGAGAGCTGCCGAGCAGGGGCCCCGTGTGTCACTGCCACCAGCTCCTGCCTGCATGAGGAGACTGCGCACTTCGAGGCAAATTCAAGTCAAACACTGAAGTAAGTTTTGCTTGTTTAATGTTTTTTTCTTGTATAAAACCGAGAACAGGAGGCACTTGTTTGCCTGAAGGACTGTGGGAGTATGGAACAAGCTGCCCAGCCATGTTGTTGGAGCTTCAACATTCATAACCAGCTGACTGAGATCCTTGGATCAATTACCTACTAACTACTAAATGGGCCAGATGGGCTGAAAGGCCTCCTCTTGTTTCTAACCTTTCTTATGATTTTATATTAATTAATAGTAATGTGTTTGGATGATGATGTGATGGGTTATGTGTGAGGAGGAGGTGGAAAAGCTTGAAAACTAACCTGGGCTCACTTGACCGTGGCAGCTTTGAGCTAACTAAGAGATGATGCTCTCTAGAAAAGTAAGAGCAGGATCATAACAAAGACCGGGCTCAAAGAGGTGAAGTCTGGGCTACTGGGCTCAAACTACGATCCACAAACCCGGCCTTATCAGTAGAACCTGTCAGAAACCCAGCGCTTTTCCTCAAAACAAGTACGATTACCTCACTCCCCTTTCCAAAAACCTGCGCAAATGGGTAGATAAAACTCCAGAACAGAGCGGTCGGGGAGTCTTTTTTCCTTCTTTCAGAGAGCAATAAAGTAGTTAACTTAGGAGTTCATTAACATGATTTGAACTCAGACACTAGTGGCTCGGACCTCAATCCAAGGTTTTGAGGTCTAGACTACTAACGTGCCCCCTGAGTAAAGGCTGATTTTAAGGAAAGAAAACAAATTCATGTTTCCCCACGGGAGCACAGCGGAATTTAGCAATTCCACTTCGGTGACTTGCTCTCACAGTGTCAACTTCTACTTGACAAAAAAGTTAGTTTCATAATCCAAACGGTTTAGGATCCTGATGTAGAGCCAGTAATTTGCTGCCTAAAGTGTTCTGGCTCTCTGCCTCTGCGCTGTGGGTTCAAGATGTTCTCACAAGAGTTTGACCAAAATTATAATCATCTGAGATCTTTCAGATGCCAGTATGCAGTATACTAAGATTACTTCATCTGAGGTTCCTGGTGAGAGACAGCAAACCACTAAATATCCCTGAACAGCCACTTCGTTTAAAAATGGATATGAGTGACTTAAGGAATACCTCATGCTGCAGTGCGCTCATCTTTTGGGATGAAGATGTCCACGTTTGGTTGCTCTCCCCACTTCTCCGTTTTTAATGGTTTTTGAATTCACTATACCCATTTCAAAAATAGTACGTAGTCATAACTTGAAAACCGCACATTTCGAAAAGCAAAGAAAGCTGGTTTCAAGGTTCAAAAACAACACTTGAAAATTGCCGTTATGCATACACACATACTGTACAGTACCACACTAAGAACACAGAGACAATCCACAGGCTCAGGCAGGAGCCTCAGTGACATTAGGTTGGAAATCGCAAAATGAACAAAACGCGCAGAGGGTGAAGGTGGTTTCAGAAGCGCTTGTTACAGAGAGGTAATATAATAATCCCTTACAGTAAAAAGAAATGTATTATATTTACAGAACATTTGCTGACTTGATCTTCACATTCACACACATGGAAACAATGACACCCCTCCTTTCTGGCACCGAAATGTGCAGAACCTGCACAATGTCAAAGTGTGCCACCACTTCTCTATGGCATCTTAAGTTAAAAGCCATTAAAGGAGCATTCCTCTTCCTAAATCTCTGCCACCCTGCAGAAGAAAAAGGGTGTAAAGACTGCCTGGCTCCTAGCAGACCCCAGCTGATCCGAGCATTTCCAGCGCCGACGCCCTGCACAAAGGCAGTGGGGAACCGTGTGGATTTCAGAGCTCATCAGCACACGGTTGTTTGCCTTATCCTGAACTCCAGTCGGGGATCACAGCAGCTGACCCGCTAAAGGATCCCCCACTTAATATCCTTTCTTCAAATCCTAAACCTTTTCAGTTAAAAACATGCAGCTTGAAACCTCACTTAAATCCAGAAGCTTAATTTCTATTTATCTGTAAGCTAAATAACTCCTATCGTCACGCTGGCAGTTTTTCTTTTGGTGAGGGGGGAGGGGGGCATTTCTCAAATGATTTCTCAAGTGCAGGAATGTAGGTGGCTTCAGTAACGCCCTGCGAAATCACTGGACGATTCTCAGCTTATTTTAAGGTGGCCGTGGGTTTTATTTCTATTCGTGGCAAGTCTGTGTGGACGAGCTGTGAGTTTTGATGACTCCAGCGCTGAGCAGCACCACGCTTTACCCTTGTCACTGTATACCAACACCAAGTTGCCTCCCCAGGCTCCGAATGTAAATTACAAGGGTTTCATGTTGAAACTGAAATTATACCCTTGAGCACAATATAGAGGTAGAAAATCAATATCTATTAGGGTGCATTTACAGTGCACAGGGGTCCTGAAATGGCTCAGGCACTACTGTGCCCTGAGAGATAGCATTCCCTCTGAAGATTTCAGTATTATCATTCTGCGCTGCTTGCAGAAGGAGGGTGCAAGTGGAAGCTGGCTGAGTCAGAGCCACATTTCTGCTGCCGATGGCCCCAGTGAGTCAGTAGCTCATGGGAGCTCCTCTGGCTTGGGGCGGCTGGATAGATCTAAAATAACACCAGCGTTACACAGGCGCCTGCGTCTCCGCTGGTCCGGGTGAGTCACGGCGCGTGCGTCAAAGCTCAACAGCCCTCAGCCCTTTCTGGAGAGGCGCGGATTCATTCACAAAACGAAGCATCTTCTCGGGGCTCGTTGGCAGGCACTGCAGCGTGGGTCTGCCCCCGCTGTGAGGAATGCAGGCTCACGAAGGCGAAGAGGCACGAGTGGGGTCCTTAGCCTCGCTCGGCGTGGCCGGGCGATAATTAACGCAAACGATTCACGGACTCCCGAACGCAAGGCCGGCAAGCCCGCGGGTGTCATTTCACCGGGGCTTCAGACATGCAGCCTGAAGCCAAATGTCTCACTTCGCAGCCCACAACGCCATGGGAGATTTTCTGCTGGGAAAACAACGTGCAGCTTTTCAGGTTAACCAGATGGACGTTTCCTGTGACAGACAAATAATATTAAAATGCATAACATGGGCTATTTCTAATTTGACAAATAGGCATTCCAGTGCTGATTAGAAAACAATTACTTTTTGTCATAATTAAGCACCGCTGGCAGATGGAGTAAGACACTAATTTAACTTTGCCACCTTTGTATCTTAAGAAAACATGTGGAAGGAATTCATTGCAAAGTTCATGCACAGACGATAACAAATCAAAATGAAGCTGCAGAGTGTTATGCAAATACGTTTAAGGTGCAGTTTCTGTATTTCATATAGCTGGGGAATTGTTACCGTCGCCGTGCAAATGTAAAGAATTGGACTGCTTCTTTGAGAAGCTCAAAATTGCATTTGTTTTCTGCATTTCCTATTAAACACCCCAGTGCTCTCATTGTTAATCACCTTTGATCCTCTATCACAATAGAAGCAGTCAATTGAAATGCAAATGCTCCCCAGGAATACATATCTGCATTCACGTCACTGAGCAGATCAATAGGGGACTGATCCTCGAGAGGTCTCACTGCTGAAGGCGTCAGGATTAACCCCTGCTGAAGCCCTTTAAGTGTTTAAAGGGGTTTGATTAACTTATCACTGCTGAAAAATATGGTAACAAATGTTTCGTGCCCCCCTCTGAAAGGAAAGCAAGACATATTCCTTACAGATTCGGGACTCTTTTCAGACGGTTTACCTCGAGACCTTCCATTCGAAGGCAGAAGCGAGGCAGTACAAAGAATCCCCAAAACAGCTTCCAGGAGCTTTTATTAGCAAAGGGGGGCATCGTCTTTCTCCCCGAAGCGCCCTCTTGATGATCTCGGAGCACGCAACAGACAAAAACACCACATTTGGATCTGTACCCAAAAAAAAAAGGTCTCGGACAGAAACAGGATTTGTTTTTTCCCCCACCCCCGAGAAGACTCAGCCCGTGAACGGTTACTAACTTCCTCGGCATGTCGGCGTCGCCAGCGCCCGCCCCCGCCAGGTGTTGCAAACTGATGTCATAGTGAGCCAGGAGGAAGTGCCCACTGAGACCTGCGGAATTTCACTCCGCAGCTGTGCAA